TTTTCTGTCCTATTAAACTGTCTTTATCTCAACCCACAAATTTTATTTTTTTTCTTTCCCAATTCTCTCCCCCATCCCACTGTGGCGGGCGGAGTGAGCAAATGGCTGTGTGGTGTTTAGCTGCCTGCCGGGTTAAACCACAACAACCATCAACAAAGCATACCTATAACAACTTCCTCAATACAACCACTTCAGGGTACAAATATGTATTTCTATCTCCATTAGACTGATAGGATATTAAAGTGGGATTTAAAATAAATTTCAATTTATAAATGCTCCAGTTGCTCTTCCAAGTTTGTATTTTTTTATTCAGGCTTAAATGAATGAGTAGGAATGCCTGGAGTAAGAAGCCAAAAAAACACGATAAATTACTATTATCAAAAAGAAGACAATTGTTTAAGAGCAAAAAGGAATCAACCAGTAAGAATTTTATATTCGGTGTGACACTTGCAGGGGAAAAAAAAGGAGGAAAGAGATCTTACCGTGCCTAAAAAAACCTGGCAGCCTCTCTACACCTTACTGAGACAGTCTTCGTCAGGACATACTTCTTAAGACGATTAAAAAAAAAAATTTTAAAACCAGCTCGAATATTTGTTGTTTTGTAGGTAAAGTCATAGGATTTGGGGGTGGAGAAGTGAAAGAAGGAAAGCTTTATTTTTATCATACGTAGTAATATACAAAGTAGAAGTTTTAAGCTTGAAGAAAAAAAAAAATTGTTTTGACAACTGTTCTAGATCTCCAAGTACAACCTGAAATTTATTTTACAGTGCTACTAAGAGCATTTTTATTGTTGTTTCATCTTACCTTGTCTTCACAACAATTTTACTTACACAGTAATGTGCTGAAAATATGTAAAATGTTATCAGGGATTAAGTTTAAAGAATACTTTGAAACCATAAAATATATGGCCATATTTACAGCCATACATACCTGCCTTCCCATATTCGGTAGCTGCACTGTCATAATCTGGTTTCCACTTTAAGAATCCAGTTTTCAGACTAAAATGCAAGGAGAAAGGCCTATTAACAATTAGTAAAGATTTTACGTTTTACCTTCAAAGCACTTCAGATATATTTAAAACTTTAGACTACCTCTGAAAAGGAGCAGTTACCTATATGCCAATAATATGGTGGCATCACTACTGTAAAAATAAATGCTGGCATTGTTAGGAATTGCATAAAGCACTGCAATGATCTTCCATAGTGACATGCCTCACTCTAACATGGCTCTACTGTCCCCAGAGAGTCTTCACAAGTCCAGCTCCTCAACAGTAAGAAGTCAACAGAAGAAAATACTTCGACCTACACCAACATGATATCTCACGATTTCTAATGCCACAACACCTGACAATATTTGTTACACCTCAAGAAGTTTCCAGTGTTCCTCTACAGTAATTTTTTTGCTGCTGAGAATTATCAAAGACTCTCCGTTGCATACACAGATGAAAGAATTTAATTACCAACACAAAGACAAAGCCTCCTATGTCATTTATATGTCTACAATAGATCATGACACTAAATGGCACCACGCACACACACAGACATATATATAGGGGAAAATATACATTGCAAAATGAGGTAAGTCATCAGGCAATGTTGATTTCAATATTATGACTTCCTCACTTCTAAAAAAAAAAAATACAAAACTTACCATAACTTTAGAGTCCACTTCCATATTTGTTGTGGGCAGACACTTCAGATGCAATACATGCTTAATTTGGAAAAACAGCTGTATATAGGCTATGTTGGTTGTTTTGTCTTACTTGGATGAAAGCCACAGTACATAAGTCTAAAGCAAGCTTTTATATTGTCTTATTTTTATCACAGGCAAAGCCTCAAATGCATCGAGCTGAAATACACAATGCTTTAATCTGCACACAATTTGAGATTTAGGCGTCTTTTATTTCAAATGCCTTCCAGAATAAGCTTAAAATGAATTCCACTGAAAGGCACTTTTGGTCAAGTAATTTGAGCAAGATACTCTGGTAGAGATTTTTTTATTCTGAGGAGGTCTCTCCTCTATCACAGTTTATACTTTTGATCCATGATTTCAGGATGGCCCATCAATATTCTTACTAAAATTACAGCATCTTTGGATTAGTCAGCTCTATTACATCTATACTATAGTCTGTGAAATTGAGACTTATAAGCAAAATGGCTATATTCAGTGTTAAAATACACATTAAAAGACTATCATATGTAGATGTTAAGCCCTCTAAGCTAAATGTCAGCACCGGTCTTTGAGGCCACGTAAAAAGAAACAATCGCACATTTCTCATAGGCAGGAAACAAACACGCACGCCATCCCAGCAAGGTTAAGCTCTTTCATTCACCACAATCCCCGTAACTCTTTTCTCCTGCTTGTCTTTCTCCCACTAACTTTAGCAGAAGAGCAGAAGTGACTGCCCTCGGTTTGCAGTCAGGGTCAGAGCAATGAAGGCTACCTGGCCCTTAAGGAAAGTGCCCAGGCTCCAGGCCTCTGAGCCGTACAGCCTCACCGACACGACTTTTTAACGTTAGGGCCGCTTTATTCTCCCCGTTCGGGACAGAAGGGTGCCATTTAGCGTACACCCCCTGTAGGGAGGGACCCCTGAGGCAGAAGAGGGGCCAAGCAGCCACGTCCTCCTACTCCCTCCGC